TTTTTTTTTTTTTTTTTAATTTTTGTGCCTAAAGGGTCTGGTATGACTTTTGGGGGAAATCCCACGCATTTGTTTTTTTAAACTCGGGGGTTCCCTCCTAACATTCTTACCAGCCCTTAAGGGTCTGGTATGGTTTGGGAGGGGGACCCCGCACCAGTTTTTTTTCTTAACTATTTGTTTACAATTTGCAGGGAGAATGGCCCTGCTTCGGCTGTGTCTTTGGCTGCTGTACAGACTATTGTGAAGGCTTCCCAAAGCCGAAGCGAGCCGCAGGTTTAGCCGAAGGTTCGGCTTAATCCTTTGTGAATAACCCCCTAAAGCTTAAAAATGCATTCAAGTGCCTTAACTATTAACAAAAATGTAGCTAATTTGTGTTTCACTCAGCTGTAGATCCTCAAATCTCTGAATTAGTGCAGACACCATCCTTCCTTCTTGAGGGTGGCTACTTTTGGTCCCCATGGGCCCTGGGTGTGTTGTAAAGAAGACAGCACTTCAAGCTCACTTGCATGATAAGACTATAAATGCAATAAAAATTAGCTAACAGGAGATTGTAGTCCACCATGAGAGCAGGCTTGGAGTAATGGTTACTTTACAACACACACATGGACCATGGGGAACAAAAGTAACCACCCTCCAGAAGAAAAGACAGTGTCACCACCAATTCAGAGATGATTTGACTATCTACAGCTAAATGATATGCAAATAAGTTAAATTTTTGTTAAATGAAAAGCATTTAAGATTTAACTCCTGAGTTTAGTATCACTTTAAATCATGGTTGAGGAGGGCACAAATTAGCATGACGGCAACTTTTTCACAGGTCTGAAATGGTTAAAATTTTGAATGACATTGCTATTGCTTACTTGAGTAATTAATGCTTGCATCGATGATGCATATGTGATCCAGACAATCTTTGCGATTATTTTGGGGGAGGGATAATTTTTAGGATATGTATTATATATCCTTTATATTGAGGATATATTTTTCTAGTTGAGACTTTTTTTTTTTCCAATTATTTCTTCATGGGGGGGTTGGATGTGTTCAGGGAGACCAGATCCAGACCCCCATACAGCTGTGCAGCAGCAGATCACTTCTACTAATGATGATCTATTGCTGGCTGCAATCAGTACCGTCCTCTGTACCGACAGGAAGTGTGGTGACATCACTACACTCCCAATGTAAACATTATGTGGAAGCACAGCACTTACATTTGCTTCTACAGAGCGCTCCTATGTAGTGAGCTGTATAAGTGTCGGAAGACAGTCGCTAAATGCTGGCTCTCACTGACAGCCGGGGGTTCCAGCCTAAACCCAGTGGAGCTGCCGATTCCTGGTACCATTTTAAAACAGCACTGAGACAAATAGCCGCTTTCCCAGTGCCATTTAAAATGGTGGATGGGACTCAAGTGGCTAAGAACAACCCACGCATTTTCCCTCAAATTATTATTGTAATAGACATCAGTGAGGGCTTGTTTCACAGTTCACCTCTTAAGAATATGTATATACAGTACTTGAATGTCCATAGCCTGAAAGCAGTTGCATAGTTTGCATATTTATACATTCAGAAGAACTAATAATTTCATTATACTAAATGTCATACATCTAATTGCCTGCATAACAACATATGTAAATCCTATTATTTAATGTAAATGTGATATGGCATAAAATGTTTCTAAAGATAAAAGCCATACCTGTACCTTTGCAGTGGTATATCTGAGGGTCTGGCTGTTTGGGGTGGTGTGTTTTGCTATACAAAAGTGGAGATCATGTTATGTTGATAACAGGCACCTTGTTGTCTCTTCAAGTATCTGTGATAGGCTTTCATTCTATCCCTGGACCCTTGCTGAGCTCCTTGGCTGTGCAAGGGTGCCTTGTCTTCTGCCCAAGATCAAGCTCAACTCCTCTTAGTGCTAAGAACTGCTCCGTGTCATTCCATTGCTATAGTGCTAAGGGTTCAGGCAAGGCAGTATTACATTATTAAAGGTGCCTTAGTGCTTGGAACACTTTGACACATAGGAAAATACAGGTGAACTGCAGGTTTTCCTATTGTTTTCAGAGAGAAGACCACCATGTTCAAAACTACCAGTGCTGAGCTGTCAGCACTAACATGCCAACTTGAGAGAGTGAGAGTGTGCTATTTCTATGTAAATGCTGATGTCTAAATCATCCCATCTAGAGATCGTTCTGACATGCAGTTTTCATTTAAAACCTCTGCCTATGCATTTTTTTTTCCATATGTTTAGCTTGAATTGTTCAAATTTGAGAAATAATTACTTTAAAACAGAGGGTGCTAAATCAAATGCAACTTTACATCAGTTTACCTTGCAAATGCAGTCTACACCAATCTTCTATCATACATGACAAGATTCAACTTAAGGTATCGCTGCAATGCAGTGTACATTCAGGGAAACTAGAACTAGTGTACCTGCTCAAATGGACTTTTGTCCAGGACTCCCCTGGCTCCAACGAGGACCCAGCTATCCCTGAACGCTACCTCTTTGGACATAGAGCTTCCGAGCTCAGCGAACATCTTCCGGGCCTCCTCTGACATTCTACAGCAAATACAAAAAAAAGAAAACAGGGAGGTTAGAACACAAGACTGCAGAGCAATAAGCATTGGACTTTCTGTCCGATGCTTATTGCTTAGTAGTGCTGCATCACATTGCAACAATAATAAAAATCTTTCTTGGCAACTTTGATATACTGTTGAAAATTGATCACTGTGTTACAGTTCATTCTTAATTGTACCTCTACCACTGTATGTTATGGTTTCTCAGGAAATCGTCCAATAGCTTCTTGAATGATTCCACATTCTTAGCTGAGATCACTGCCTCTGGCAGCGAGTTCCAGACCCTAACTGATCTTACTGTGAAGAACCCCCTTCGCCCCTTGTGCTGGAATTTTTTTTCCCACCAATTTTAGGTGGTGGCCTCTAGTCTTTGTTACGGAGTTCATTGTAAACAGTTTGTTGCTAATGTTGCTGTCACCATTGAACAATTTGTATATGAAAATAAGTCCCCCCTTAATCTCCTTACTTCCAACGTGAACATGTTTAAGGTCAGAAGCCTTGTCTCCTAGCTCTGGTCCTCCATTCCCCTAATTAGTTTGGTTGCCATCCGCTGGACTCTTTCAAGCTCAAGGACGTCCTTTCTGTGGACTGGTGACCAAAACTGGACCGCATACTCCAGATGAGGCCGAACCAGCGATCTATAAAGTGGCAAAGTTTTGGACTTGTCTCTGCAATACATCCCCTTCTTAATACAGGACAGGACTCTACTTGCTTTGTTTACAGCAGTCTGGCACTGCAAGCTATTAATCAATCTGTGGTCTACAATGACGACATCAATTTTTAACATGATGATAAACTTGCCGAGAAAGATTTTATTACTGCCAAAATGTGATGCAGCACTAAGCAATAAGCATTGGACAAGCATTGAACTTAAAGTGAGGGGAAATATTTTCAGCAGGGACACTGCACTATATACCTTCTGGACTCTTAACAACACTGTAGGTCCAAAACAGTATATGTTAACAGCAAAAAAAGAAATATAATCAGTTACTTTGTTTGAGTACAAAAGCTGTCTTCAGGCCTGCAGTGTGGGATAAAAACAGTCAACCTTTAAAGGAAAACTTAAAAAAAAAAACCCCAAACAGATGAAGGAGCATTCCCAGTAAAAACAACAAGTTCACTTTAATGGTACACCAACTTCACACATCAGTTTATTACTGCCTCTTAAAAGGAACTTTATTCCTTTTCACTAAAAATCACATCAGCATTCAGCTCTACGTGCCGATAGATCATCTTACATTCTTCAGTTAAACAAACATATTTTTATTTTACTTACAATTATACTTACAATTACAGTTTTTCTACTTGCTGGTCCTATTTGGCACAAATGATGTAATCTTCCTGGGAAGATTGCATCAGCAGAGCATTGCTGTGAAATCTCATCTGTAATCTCAGGAGATCTCGGGGAAAGACATGTGCATGGTCATATGTCCTAGTCACATGTGCCAGAGATTCAGGAAGTAAAGGGACATATAGCAATCTGCCCTTAGTAAAAATTGCCACTGACTGAAGAATGGGGCAGAAAAGAAAAATAAGGCATGCAAAGAATAAAAAGCCGGAAATTATCTAGAAGTATCAGTTTCTAGATTGTCATTACTAAACATTTCTAAAGGTATATTTGTTGTAATTTCAAAGACATGAGTAAAGTTCCTCTTTAACTTCCTTACTGCACTAGATAGTAGACGACTCCTCCGCCCATGTGGCAGCATGCTGCTTAGTGATTGGAGGGGGGAATGCTTCTGGTGCCTAGAGCAGAAACCGTTAAGAGCAAAGGGAGGGTAAGTATGACCTGCTGGTGCAAAAGGCATTAAAGTGAACCTGTTTTGTCCTACATGCAAAAATACAGGTTCACTTTGAAGGCAGGCAAGACAGTTTACTCACCTGTAGCTTCAGCTTCTTTCCTACGACTAAAAGCACTAGCACTCTCTGACTAGTTATGCTTATTTTTCTAAAAATTACTTAAGGAATATACACTTTACTGCCCATTAAAGTACACCACACATTCCTGTGAGGTGTCATTGTCATAAAGCTGATCATAATGTACGATAAGGTAAAATGTGAGAGACATAGAAAAAAAAAACGCATTTGACTATAAATAAATATAGAACATTATGCCACATTAAAAAAAAATATATTTATTGTTCCTATGACGGACTGCCAGATACCCTGCCTGGATATTGGGCAGCACAGTGGTGTAGTGGTTAGCGCTTCTGCCTTACAGCACTGGGGGCTCACGGTTCGAATTCCGGCCAGGTCTCTATCTGCAAGGAGTTTGTTCTCCATGTGCTTGCGTGGGTTTCCTCTGGGTACTCCGGTTTCCTCCCACACTCCAAAGACATGCTGGAAGGTTATTTGGCTCCTCTCTAAGTTGGCCCTCTGTATATGCATGTGATATCAGGGGTGTGGAAATTTTTAAAAAAAAAATACTTGTCCAAGGGCTAAAGTGGGGGCCAAATCTACTTCTCCTTCATGACAATCTACTTGTTCCAATACAAAAAATAGTTTTAATCAAAACTAAGGATGCAACAAGACCAGTCAGAGGAAATTTTCATCCGGCCGTAAATTCCAATATTGGGGAAGGTATCGGAGCATTTGGGTGAGTACGAGTACTTGCCCAAATACTCTGTATCGCACTGATACTAGTATCGGTGCACCCCTAATCAAAACATATTTGACTGTGCTAAATAGCGCTTCTCACTGGTCAGCGCAGTCATCTGACCACGTTGACCAATGAGTGCTTGCAATTTGCGAGCGAAGTTCAAAATGCATAGGGGAGGACTGCGCTGGACAGCAGTACGGGGGACAGATAGTACACCCATACTGGCGGAGAGGAGGGATTGTTCGCCGAAAGGTAAGTATAGCCAGGGGGGTGGCGGTTTGGGAGAGACAGGGCCAGATTTCATCGGGTAATTTTTATTTTTCCATATTACCTGGGAAAATGAACTTAACTTTTAATGCACATTGTGTGTGTGTAAGAGAATTCCGGCTATCACCATGGAATGGCGGCTGCAATCTCAATGCACATGCAGAATGTCCTACGCATGCGTTTATTTGCATGCAGATGGCGGGGGCAGCAGGGTTTAATTTTTTTTTTTCTTTAAATTATTATTTACTTTTTCCACTTAAAGGGGTTCTAAACCCTCCGTTTTTTTGCCTATAACTACTGCTAGCATGCAGTAGATATAGGCAAGAAGTGTAAAAAAAACAAAAACGCTTAAAATCATTTTAAACTTACCTCGTTCCCGCGCCGATTTTAATGCACATTGTGTGTGTGTAAGAGAATTCCGGCTATCACCATGGAATGGCGGCTGCAATCTCAATGCACATGCAGAATGTCCTACGCATGCGTTTATTTGCATGCAGATGGCGGGGGCAGCAGGGTTTAATTTTTTTTTTTCTTTAAATTATTATTTCTTTTTTCCACTTAAAGGGGTTCTAAACCCTCCGTTTTTTTGCCTATAACTACTGCTAGCATGCAGTAGATATAGGCAAGAAGTGTAAAAAAAACAAAAACGCTTAAAATCATTTTAAACTTACCTCGTTCCCGCGCCGAGAATCAGGAAATGCTCGTACGGACGCAAAGGATCTTGGGGCGGGCGCATGCGCAGTTCCGATTCTCGGCCGGGAGACGAGCAGAGACGCAAGGTAAGTCTATGGACGCGTGCACCCGCCTGCAGACACCGCTGGATCGTAGAGACAGAGCAGTCAGCGCTGGATCGGAGTGACGTCACACTGCTGGAGGGACAGATGAAAACATGGGGAAAGAAGAGGAAGATCGGAAAAAGAGACATCATTTAAGGTAAGTGCTAACATTTACATTGGGGGAGGGAATTTTTTTTTTGCCTTTAATGTCACTTTAATGTTCTTCCTATCACATAGGGGATTAAAATCCCTTATGTGATTGTTTGGAGGTGACAGGTTCTCTTTATGAAACCTGCCCTCCAACACAGAACAGCTGTTCTGTGTAGTTCCTGACAGCCGACGCTGTGATTACAGCGCCACGGTCTCAGAGAACATAGAGAGCCAGTAGAGCAGACATTCTTCTTCTGCTCTACGGGCTCTATTGCTGAGCCGTTGTGCTGTAGTTTTCGGGGTCCCCTAGGAGAGCGGGCGACCCCAAAAACTATGGTGGGGGGTGCGGGCAGAAACGATCGCCGCTGCTTAAATTGATACAAGTGGTCTGATCAGATCACTTGTACTAAACTAGGGGCGGCGGCTCCACAATGTACATTCAGCTCTGCTTGTCCGGAGCCGGGCTAAATGTACATAAAAACCACTCGCCCTGCGCCCGAAACTGTATGTCCCGGGCGTCGAGCGATAGGAATTCCACACTCCTGGATATAGGGAACTTAGATTGTAAGCTCCTTGAAGGTAGGGACTGATGTGAATGTGCAACTATGTAAAGTGCTGTGTAAAATTGTCGGTGCTATATAAATACCTGTAATAAATAAATATCTCCTTCTTAAAGTGACATTAAAGGCTAAAACTTTTTTCCCTCCCCCCAATGTTAATGTCAGCACTTACCTTAAATTATGTTTCTTAATCTGATCTTCTTTCTTATCCTTTTCATCTGTCCCTCCAGCGCTGCGGTGGGTCTCCGATCCAGCGCTGACTCCTCTGTCCTTGCTGGCACTTCCTATCCCACGGTGTCTGCATGTGGGTGCACGCATCTATAGACTTACCTTGCGTCTCTCCTCGTCTCCTGGCAGAAAATAGGAACTGCGCATGCGCCCGCCCCAAACTGCTGTGTTCCGCCCGAGCATTTTCAGAAGCATTTTTTTTTTTAACTTTTTGCCTATATCTACTGCTTGCTAGCAGTAGATATATGAAAAAAAAACAAACGAAGGGGTTTAGAAACCCTTTAAGCCTGTTCCCTGGGTGCTGGAACCAGAAGCAAGGGAATATAGCATGGGCTTACCCCAAGAATCAGACAGCACTGACTTTGGAGTGTAAACGTACTGGTTTATTGAAGAAAGCACACAGAGTTTATACCTCACAGAATCAGATAAGAGTTTAGTGTGTTACATTGAACAAATCCCACCTAGACAGCCGGGTGCCTGCATTAGGATTCCTCAAGCACAGTCAGTCTTTGAACATAATGAATGCCCTTAATTAGATGAGAGCTTGATCACATCAACCTAAACAATGGCCACTCCAGACAGCCTGCTGCCTTCACAAAAATACGTTTAGCAGAGATGGTTCAAATCAAGTCAAATAGTGACAAGCTCTCTCTCTAGATAAAATATTAAACAGGAAAACACACACAACAAAGTTCTCCGGGGGTAATAAATCTCTGCAGCCCTAGGTCCGTCACAATTCCCTTACAATACTCGACTATTAAAAAAACGTTCAAAAACCAACAAAAGCAAGGGCAGTGCATAATTTTCTCCTCCTATGCATAATATCTGCTGAAAAACAACAGCAGCCCTGTTATATTAGGATACAACTCGTTTTCTACTCACTTGGTAGCTGGATCATCATAAGAAGCCAAGAGAACTAGTGTGCCTTCATGGATTGGCCGCAGGAAGTTCAACAGCTCAGACACATCTAGAGGGGAAAAAAAAGCTTTTAATAACTAAAAGGTGTTAAATTAGCAAAATGTTAAAGGAGAACTATGAGATGAGTGATTTCCACTCACCTCATAGTTCTAGCCGACCTGTGACAATGAGACTGTCACAGGTCGGCTCAGTAGATCGGAAAGTGAGCGAACACATACCGGGTTCGCTCACCTCTCGATCCTGTCACGGCTCTCTGCCGTGACAGGGGGAGGGGCTGGATTCCCCTCTCCGATCTGCCAGCGCTGACTGGCGGAACGGACGGGGGAGGGAGCGGGTACAGCTGCCTCTGCCTCTAGATAGGCAGAGCCAGCTGTCACTCACGCAGCTGGGCGGATCCCGTCATCTAAGTCGGGATCCGCTGCGGCGTCTCAGTATACCGCGAGCTGTAGCTCGCGGTATACTGAGCTTAGGGTAACGGGAGGACGCTAGTTTGTGGCCTCCCGTTACCCCAAGGAGAACTATGGGGAAAAACACTGACCCCATAGTTCTCCTTTAAACAAGTAAAACCAAAATTAGACAACACAACATAAGAATAATAAATCAAAAGGAGATAAAGTGTTACTGGAAAACATGGGAAAGCCTAAAGCTTCATCTGCTGGCTTATAAGGATTAGATTTTTTGTGGAGACACAGGAGTCTTTAACCCCTTCGTGACTGACGACGTACAGTGTACGTCGCCAGCATCGGGGCTGTTTAAACAGACTCCCGGCGACTTTTGCCGCCGGGACTCTGTTTAAACTTGTAGAGCCGACTGTCGGCTTCACAACAGAAGCGATCCTGGCGACTTACCTGTCGCCAGATCGCTTCTGCGTCCCGAAGAAGGGGCCGCCCCCCCCCGCCGGACACCCCCGCCGTGCTTCCCGGGCTCCGTTGCCCCTCCTACGGGCCCGGGACCGGCGATCTTGGTGTCCGCGGGGAGCTGGGGAGGAGGTCGACGAACTTCCGTTCATCGATCCCCTCCCCGTTCTATGGGACCGGGAGCGATGCAGATTGCATCACTTCCGGTCCCTGGGCTGTCAGTTCTGGGCTCCTGGAGCCCAGCTATAAGCTATTGAAGTGCGATCTGCACTTCAATAGCTTATTTCCAGTGTAAAGGTGACACTGGGGGTCTTTTGGACCCCCAGCATCACCTTAAAGAGTACCTGTCACGACCATCTGCTATCACATGGGGGGGCTTGTAAGCCCCTCTATGTGAAAGCAGTCAAAGTAAAGTTAAAAAAAAGAAAAAAAAAAACTTTTTCAATAAAAATTAAATAAAATCAATCTAATAATAATAAAAAAATGTTTTAAAGTCCCCGCCCCCGCGCGTCGCCACGTAAACACGCGTCGGGTGCGCCTACGTATGAAAACGACGAACGTGCTACACATGTTGGGTATCGCCGCGCACGCCGGAGTGAGAGCAATAATTCTAGGGCCAGTATTTTGGGGTATCTCTAAATTGATGACCTGTGGGGGCTTTTAAAGCGTCTATTGACTTTTTGGGGTACTGCAGTTTTTCGCCGTTTCACGGACGCACGCAATTTGTAACCTATGCATGTTGGGTATCGTTTTACTCGTTGTAACCTCATCTTTTATATGTCATTTAAAAAATTTGTATTTTGTTGTGTTTTGGGGCATTAAATTACATTTTTCACTAAATGTTGGGGTTTAATAAGGAGTTGCGCTAATATTGCGCAACATAAAAATTTGAAACTACCCCCATTTTATTCTATAGGGTCTTGGCATTCAGAAAATATATAATGTTGGGGGGTTTTAAGTCATTTTCAGACCTAAAATGTGGAATATAACATGGGTGCAAAAAATGAAAAAAGGGCCTCAGTCATGAAGGGGTTAATATTTAGGAGTTATACTGCCACCTACAAAATGCAAGGACATGGACAAAAAACAAAACTGTTGGCTAGCCCAGAATAACTTCTACTATCATCATGCCTCAGTTTTGTAGCAAAGCAGTACCAGAGAACAGGATTAGAAACACAGAGGGGTGTGACCTGTACCCCTTAATGGACTTGAAGAAAAGGATTTTATGAGTACAAAAATCATATTTTCATCATCAGCCATTGAAGGACACAAAGTCTAACCTTTGGGACATCCAAAAGCAGGCCCCAAAGATGAAAAGAAAAACCAGGACTGCCTGCACCTGGAAAAGCTGCCTGAAGGATCTTATGTCTGAAACCGATATCAAATGAGGCTGAACATCCATCTGGTAGAACTTAGAGAACGTGGGAACAGAAGACCGGGTGGCAGCCTTGCAGGGAAACAGATACATGATGCCAAAAATCCCAAGAAGCACTCACAGATCTAGTAGTGTATGCCTTGGCAGGAAAGGGTGGAAACTTATCCTTAAGACCATAAGCTTGGATGATGGTCTGTCTGAGCCACCTAAAGAAGGTGGAGTGAGATGCTGGGGCACCCTTACAGGGTCCATTCAAAATGATAGATAGGGAATCAGTCTTTCTGAAAAAAATCAGTGACCTAGATATAGACTCTCAAAGCCCAAACCACATCCAGACAATGGAGCAACATTCACTTATGGTTTACTGGATGGCTGCAATCAGAGCCAAGCTTTAGCACTGATGTAGGAAAGAGTTTTGATTAAAAAAACAAATATCAAAAGATATGAAAAAAAGTACTAGGAAAAATATGTTAGTCTTTAAACACAGCAAAGCTGAAGAAAAGAGGTTCATCCTCATAGGACGAAACTGAGGTATACTAGTAGAAGCAGAGGTTATCATGGCCTGTACTAAAGTTTTGTCCCCATTCCTCCTGTAGAGGACAGTATAACACAAAAGGCTACAGACTTCCTATATCCCTCACTGGATGAGAAAGAAAAATGTTTTTAAAACAATTTTTTTTGGTAATTTTCTCTAAAAAGACTCAATCAAAAAGAAAAAAAAATCTGCAGTACACATGCCATATACATAATTGTAGAAGCTTCCCAAACCTTCTTAAAACAACTGAAACTTAAGGTATTTTCACTAGCAAAGCTTCAGGTTCCTGTCTTTGGCTTCTTTCTATTGTCTAACGAGGTAGACTATCATAATGATAGGCCTACAGGAATGTGTATGTGTGTGTGGGGGGAGCTAGCAGCAACTTCAGCACTATGTGTCAGAGCTTTGTGTGATAAAACAGCCTGGGGTTTAGTGATATGGTCACAGGAAAAAAAGTAACCTATACTCCAAAACCTATAATCAATTTTATGTCTTAATCTTACTCATCTTAAATGGAATTTTATAGTAAGGTTGCTTTTTCTGAAATAAGAGCTAGCTACCATTTGCTTTAAAATTATTCCTGAAAAGTTGTAGTGTCCTTCCTGTCATGCATCTCTTGCCTACAGTACTACTGTAGTCTCATCGTTGTAGTCTGTAGATCTGCAGTGTGAGATCAATTAAGCGATTGCAATACTCAAAAAAACACAGCACACCAACAGTTAACCCATGTTGAGCAATGTTTTTTCTCCAATTGCTCTCTCTAATAAAGCTTTTCTTAACTAGCAAAATTGTTCTAAAATAGCTTTGGTAAGAATGTGAAATATGGGCCTAGATGTCACTCAGAGACAATGTATAAACTAAACTGTGAGGCTGATGTCCTGTGGTTGGGACAACTCAGCAGTAACAGCATTATTAAAAGAGACCACTTACTATTTCCAGTGCAGAGGTTTTTGAAAGCAAGGGAGCAACTCCTAATCTATTTCCTAATCTTTGAAATATGAATCTTTAAATTAACTTCTGCATCATATGTGTAGCATCTTACCTCCATCCCACATGTCAAATGATCTGGCTTCAATAAGCTCTCCACTAACTCCTAGAAACAATGAACAAATTTGTATTACATCTAGATATTTGCATACACAGTGAAAGGCAGATACATATATTCTTTCTACATTGGATATATTATCACTCTTATCTAGGCAAACAGCTTAAAAGTGTATGTATAATCAAAACTTTGTATAGAGTAGGGAAGGGTTACAACCCCAGCCAGGTTATCTTTTTGGATGTCCATTATTGAAATTTCCCTTCAATTCCTGTCCCAGGTACACAACATTAAAGGAAATCTTCCAAAGTGAAGGGAATTTCCCTCTTAGACATTGGCCTCCAGAACAAGTTTTCCTATTGTAAGAGTTTCCCTCGCCTCTAGGGAGGAATTATAAATTATTGGGGGTTTTTTCACTCGATTTTTAGATGTCAATGGTCACCAATAGATTTAAAGGGGTGACTCTCCAGGCAGCAATAAAAACTTGGCAAATGGCCCAAACCTTTTCTATGCTATTCAAAAGATTTTGCCTAGAGATACACTTTAAAACACAGTTTTACTTGCTAAATATTTATAAATTAGCTCAGACGTTAACACAGAAAATAACTGCCATTTCCTGTTTCAGCTTTCGAGCATCCTGTGTCACCTGTTTTCTCATTGTACAGAGTTGATAATACTAATTCTTTGTCCAATGAGCAGTCTGGAGGCTGACAGATGACACCAAAAGCAGCAAAGCTGTGCCAGTGGATAAGGTTGTCACCTGCCTGCTTGTGCAGTGGAGTATGAATTGCAAAACTGACTGAACAGCAGGTGCTCTGCTATATTATGCCTTAAGTCAGGGGTCTCAAAGTACTGGCCCATGGACTGGTTACTTTTTGCAGCAGGCAGGGCCGCCAATAGGGGGGTAGAGGCGACCCTCCTGTACCGGGCACCATCAGGTCAGCTGGGAGGCCCGGGGAAAGAAAGATGGCTCTTAACTTTTGCAGCAACAACCAGGGGCGTAGCTAGGGTTGCCACCTGTCCTGGATTTACTCGGAATGTCCAGGTTTTTGAGTCCTGTATGTGCTGTTTTCGGGTTTCAGGCCAGCTAAAACCCAGACACGCGATGCCACAATGTCAAGCGGACAGAGGCAACTACGGGGTCCTGGTGTTTCAACTTGAGTGCATGGAAGAAGCATGGGGCACGGAGGGATGCTGGAACTCTGGGAGCCAGGAGGTGTCTGAAACACAGTGGTTCTGATCCAGACAGATGTGTTGCTCACTATCTCTCCTCCCTCTCCCCTCCTGGCCGTCTCGCCTCCCCCTCTCCCCTCCTGGCCGTCTCGCAACAACTGTTGAAACTCTTCTTGGTGTGTCGGGTGTGTTTTAACGGTCCTTACTCATCTTTGAGTATGGCAACTGTATAAAAATAAGCTCATTATATCAGATGACTGTACACTTGTGACAGTGAGTAAAATGTGTGCCCAATAACTATACAGGAAAATAACTCTTATAGGCAGAGGTGTAATATGCCTCATGCTACATCCGGGCCTGCCAATAGATGGAGGAGCAATTCTCAAATGTTTTTTTGCCAAGGCATCACATGCCACAAGTAACATTTTCTCATTATGGATTTTCTGTGCTATGCAGTTAATTTGTTGTTATAGCAATGGTAATAAATTGTACAATAGCCATTCTTAATTAAGTGACTGACCATTAACAAGCGCAATGTTGAGGCCTCGGCCAACGTTGTTCTGGACACTGCTCATCAACCTGTAATGAGACAATAAAGAGTGGACTGAGCATAGAGAGGTACATCATCTATTTAAAACCAAAAATACATATTTTAATCTTGGCTTTTAAATGATGCTTTTAAGGGCAATGTTGAAGCCCATTGGGTCACTCTCTGGGTAGGGACACATGATCGCAAACATGGTCTACTACTGAATCCTGTTTCCAAAAATATCTTGCACTTAAAATCAACTTCAAACTTATCTCTCGATGGCATTTAGTCCGTGCAAGAATTACAAAATGTTGCTTGGGATACTCTTCAGCATGCTTCCGTGGCTGTTCAGTTCCGGGTACATACATATACGCTTGGTGGCATTGTCTGGTTGCACATGCAATATGGTCCATAGTATAAAGACATAGAGCTATCATGTTTGGCCCCCCACTCACTCCAGATCCCAGTGAAGCCTTGATTAACAAAAAAAAAACAATGGCATCTCACTCCAGTTTAGGCTTTTGTTTTTTTGGCAGCTACTAAGCAGGTTATTGCTAAAATCATGGAAGTCCCAGACTTTGCACTTTCACAACGTTAAGAACAGGATAAAAGAAACCATGATATAGGAAAAGAGGACAGCTTTGCTATTGGATAGACTGCACAACAGCAAGGGGATCAGACACTTTCCCCCTACTATTTTTGATAGATGCCCTCTTCAAATTGTAAGAAACTAGATGATTAACAGTTGGCACCTTGCGGGTTCTAAAAGGTCTCTTGCTGATATTATAGCCCTTCAACTCTTATGCATTAAAAGGAGAACTATGAGGTGAGTGATTTTCACTCATACTCATAGTTCTAGCCGACCTGTGACAATGAAACTGTCACAGGTTGGCTCAGTAGATCGGGAAGTGAGCGAACACATACCGGCGCTCGCTCACTTCTCGATCCTGTCACTGCAGAGAGCCGTGACAGGGGCTCCGATCCTCCAGCGCTGACTGGTGGAACGGTCCTCCAACGCTGACTGGACGGGGGCGGGTACAGCTGGCTCTGCCTCTAGATAGGCAGAGCCAGCTGTCACTCACGCAGCTGGGCGGATCCGGACATAATTGTCAGGATCCGTTTCAGATGCGGCGTCTCAGTATACCGCGAGCTATAGCTCGCGGTATACTGAGCTTTGGGTGACGGGAGGATGCTGGTTTGTGTCCTCCCATTACCCTAAGGAGAACTATGGGGAAAAGAGCTAACCCCATCGTTCTCCTTTAAGTGTGGATATTGCTTAGCTTTACTGATGTAACCTCTTTACATATGCACCCTTTTTTTATTTTCCTTGAAACTCCCATCTCTCTTATTTTTTGTCTACCGTATTTGTAAAACTAAAAAAACAAAATAAACTCTTTGCAAACAATATCAGGAAAAAAAAAATTAGTAATACAAAAATTAAAGAATCATAAAAAAGATAAAAGCATAACATTTTTTTTAAGTCCCCGCCCCCCACATACACGCAGATATGCGTCAGGTGCGCCTACGTGCGAAAACGACGATTGCGCCTATTGTGCCGCACATGTTACATATCGCCGCAAACGTCGGAGTGAGAGCAATAATTTTAGAGCCATTAATCACTGATAACACTAAACTGACGAGCAGTAAAAGCATTTTAATCGTCGCCTATGGGCGTTTTTTTTGCGATTTTGCGAGCGCACGCAATTTTAAGGCTTTGGTGTCTATTTACTCGACGTGACCCCGACTTTTATGTTTTACTAAAAATATGGGTAAGAATAAATGTTTTATAACAGCGTAGGGAAACTTTTTCCCCGTGGGGTATCAAAAGAAAGCTCTATCTGTCCTCAAAAAATATAGTCCGGTCATGCTGACTGGTGACATTTTTGACTGATATATATATAGGCATCGGCGATAGTGTCCGCCCCCCGCACCTCTGCGGGACTGTGACCCGTCACGATCACCCAAAGGAGCTCACCATAGAGCCCATTGAGCAGACGAAGAACGACGTTAAAAGCCAGGCCTTAATAGAGGGGACAGGAGCCTTGAAGAAGTCGCAACTTTACATACCTAATAAAAAGGTATGTTGCAGCCATAACTAAGGGAGGGGGGAGTGGGGGAAGGAAGTTACCTGGGGAGAACCAGACCAGTTACATTCTGGAGTTGTGTTTTAAAGCTTAACAAGTAGAAACTTATATTTATGAATTTAAAAATATGATATTAAAAATCCCTTTTAAGACCAAAGCAGCGTCAGTATACATTAGTTAACTTGACAATAACTCTGACTAATTTGCCTACCTATATTTGCACAGGACATACATGTATAAAGTAGGTACACTGTTTTAAAAGGACAAGTTTACTTCTGAATTCAGCTTGCCCTATTAAACTTTGCCTTTTCTCTGTACCAGAAATCCTCACTGTGTGGCCCTGCCCAGCACCGCATAGCTTTTCTGCCCCAACGGCTCTTATTATTGTGCATGCAAACTGCGGTTCCATGCTGTACATTCCTATGGGTGACCAGCATTTGGCATGATGGCTGGAATATGGTTCATTCATACAAATGAATGGGGCTACACAGTGGCGTAACCAGAGTTCTGGGTGCCCGGGGCAGAAATTTCCCCCCCCCCATTATATAAACAACCACTGGAACTGCACCTCCCCCCCACACGTTTTTATTTTACATTTTTCACATTTTAATATTTTATTTTTTTAGAAACTTTTTCATTTTTTTAAATTAATTTTTATTTATTCATTAATTTTTTTATTAAATATTTTTATTTTTTACTTTACTTTTAGGGGCTTCAGGGAAATATTGGGCGTCTAAACAGACCCCTAATATTTCCCTTTAAAAATAGAAAAAGAGATTGAGTCCTCAATCTCTTTTTCTGTGTCCCCTGTTATCAATGAACAGGAATCCTTTATGAGTGTTCCTGTTCATTGATAACATGGTATGTTTACTATAACTACAATTATGAATGAACAGGAGGAGATGTAGATCACTCCCATTCATTCATAATTGAGGATATAGTATACATACCAGGTCCTCAATTATGTACAAACACTCAGCGATCACTGATCACTGAGTGTTTGTACCCGCTCTCCTCTCTGACACACACTGTCATAGGAGGCTGCAAGAGGAGAGCCCAGCCTCCTGTGACAGCGCTGGCTGTCTCCGCCCCCACACCGCTCTGCTGCACTGTGATAGGCGGCCGAGCGGTGTGGGAGGAAAGACACCTGCCGCTCACAGCGCTCGTCCCGCAGCGCTCGGCCGGCTGTCATTTTCTCTCCGATTCCTTTCATCCCTGCTGGGCACTGCTCTGTGTCCCAGCGGGGATGAAAGGAATCACGGCCGCGCCGACAAAACGGCAGGAAAATGTCACTTTCGTCATTTAGCCGAAAGTGCCATTGTCGGCCGGCGCCCCCCCCTTCACTTTTCGCCCGGGGCCCGCGCCCCTGCTGCCCCCCCGGTTGTTACGCCACTGGGGCTACATCACACATGAATGATGGAGTATCTCCCAATACATTTTTGAGTGCAAGAAAAAAAAAAGTTAATCCATTTAGGGCTTGTTTCCACCATCACCTTACCAGAACAAGACCATAAAGTTTTTTCAACGCACTAGAAATGCATCCCCATGTATTCCTATGGTATTTTAGGGCTGTAGTTCCCACCAGTACCCACAGTTCCAGTGCTTTGGAACGCGACAAAACGCGTATAAACTCACATTAACACACCGCACTGGAACGCAAGTTAAAAAAAAAACCAAAAACAATTAAGGGTCACTTTTGATAACCTAATCAACATTATACACTTGCTTTAAGGAAAAGGGCATTTTCACCTGAACATTGGTGACCTTGGCTGTGTCCTGCAACATGGTGGACAAACATGCAGACACAGATAGGTTTGTCACTTTTGTACAAAAATGTCCTGAGCTTTAGGACCCAAAACACTCAGGGTTATCACACACAGTGCCAAAACAATGCCTGTGTTCCATGGCTCCATGTTTGCTAAACTCCTGAGCTCCTGTGAAGGTCACAAACACGTGAAGAAGCAGGAAATTACTTGACATAATCTGCATACTAAAAAATCCCCCCCAAAAATGTACTTGAAGGTGTAAGAAACGCATGCAACTGCGTTTGCAAAAAAGCTTTCAGCTCTGGTCTGGTGATGGTGGAACAAGACAAGTCCTTAGACCAGAACATTGTCAGTATGCATAACTTGATAATAAGTTGTTGACTGATTTGCCTAACTATATTTGCACAGCACATATAAAGTGGGTACATTGTTTTAAAGGACAAGTTTACAGCTGTGCAATGAAATCCAAAATATACAGTATATACACTATATTGCCACCCCTGAAATCAACCCCACACCATAATCCCCCTTCCACCAAACTTTGCACTTGACACAATGCAGCCAGGGAAGTACAGTTCTCCTGGCGACTGCCAAACCCAGAAGCGTCCATTGGACTGCCAGACAGAGAAACGTGATTTGTCACTCCAGAGAACACGTCTCCACTTCTCTAGAGTCCAGTGGCGGCGTGCTTTACACCACTGCATCCGACGCTTTGCATTGCACTTGGTGATGTGAGGCTTGGATGCAGCTACTCAGTCATGGAAACCCATTCCATGAAGCTCTCTACGCACTGTTGTTGTGCCAATCTGAAGGCCACACGAAGTTTGGAGGTCTGTAGCTATTGACTCTGCAGACAGTTGGCGACTTCTGCGCACTGTGCACTTCGTGGCGGAGTTGCTGTTGTTTCCACTTTGTTATAATACTACTAACAGTTGACCGTGGAATATTTAGTAGCGAGGAGATTTCACGGATGGACTTATTGTACAGGTGGCAACCTACCATGGTACCACGCTTGAATTCACTGAGCTCCTGAGAGCGACCCATTCACAAATGTTTGTAGAAGCGTCTGCATGCCTAGGGGCTTGATTTTATACACCTGTGGCCATGGAGGGAATTGGAACACCTGAATCCAACGATTTGGAGGGTTGTCCCAATACTTTTGGCAATATAGTGTATATTGCACTCTGTTTGGAAGGTAAATGCTCAGATGTATATCCAAAAATATATCCCTACAAATCCAAAGTAGATATAGAGGAACTCATGGGTCTTGCAGCGGAGATAATTCAAAGCATCAGCATTTTATTGTCAACGTTTTAAAGGAACTCTTTTAGTCTTTCTCAAGACGCTGTGTCTTGACTTACCTGAGCTACAAGACCTGTGAGTGCCTCTGTATCATAGACAGACAGACAATATACACATACATACATACATACATACAATACTTGCTGCAGATTTTGGTGTGGTTTGCGAAAAGCCCATCTTCCATATGAATACATTCCTTGTCTCCCTACTAGCCTACCAGTACGGCCATCATGCTTTGTTATCAATAGGTAAGCGAGGGTAGCAGGAAGGAGTGGGCTAAAGCAAGCCCGCGAGAGCTCTGGTCACGGTCTACATTATAAAAGGGACCTGTTTTTTTGGGGTACCAGGTTGGTACCCCTACCCTTCCAGAAAAGCCAATATATATGATACCTAAAAGGTATAATAAATTAGAAGGAAAAAAAAAAAGAAGACGCAGAATACTACTAATGCTTTTCATTAGAGAAGTGTGAGCAGTTCCTTACCCACAGCAATCACAATACATTCGAGTAGATAGTAGCATTGTATAAGGGTCAACAGGATGCTTGTTATGGGTCACAGATAAAAATGGTACATCTGTGTGTGATGCTCTGCTGTAAAACTAGAACTAATTTCTACTACCTCCAGCGATGTATGGGAACCTTGTAAGTGATAGTTAATGATTGTCCTATCTGGCTACTGTTTGGTATTAAATTTAGGTAGAAGCTGAAACATGACCTTAAATGTACATAACACAGCACTCACATTTTATCTTCTAAACAGATCTTGGGTCCAATGACATTTGCTGCTCCGCTCACCACTCGGACGGCGAAATGCTTGTCGGGACACGGCTGCGGTAAGCCACACTTGAACCTCCTGGGGCGTGGGTCTAAGAGGAGAGACAATGAGATGTCACAGAGAGATGATAAAATAGATGGAACATGGACTTAGGATGGCCAAGATGTTTAGGTCTCTCACAAGGACAGCAGGTGGTAACACATTGCCCTATCCTCATTTGAAATGTATATCACTGAGCTGTGATGCCATTTTCTACCCCAGCTCATCCAATGAGCAAATAAAGCACATGCACTGCAAATTGGTTTACTTTTTACATTAGTTTTCCTAGCAAAGGACCCAGGGTAAAATCTTCAGCATTAAAATCAAAAGTAAATTTATATATTAAAAAAAAAGAAAAAACTCATGTGCATAACTTATCCCAACACCTAAAGGTTTGTTCACACCATGTAATTTGAGCTAGGATAAGCTGTGCAGACTTATGCACCTCACCTCATGTTCTGAATGTCACCACACCAGTAGGGTAACAGTTCTGTGGACGCCTGATCGAGCATGCTCCCAGCACAAAACAGATACACATGGGGGCGCATAGCATAAGTTCCAACTCTGAGCTGCCAGATATATGCATACGGTCGACGGGAAGGTATTCAAGTGAATCCAAACCCAACCCCAAATAGTGTTGAGGGGTTAACTTTCACTTTATCTATTTGTCTCTATGTCTACTCTTATTGGCATGGAAAGTGATGGGAAATTAAATTTTTCTTTAGTTATCACTAGAACTGGAGGGAAAATAATCTTGTTCCAGCGACAGCTTTATAACAGGGGATTTATGTTATTTTGGAGAGATTTCAGCTCAATAACCCACTATTGTATCTACAGGTCAGGAAGCAAAGGGAAATCTCCCAAATAGGACACAGATGGCCATAAATAAATAAAGTCAATGGGGTATAAACCACTACATCAAAAGGTGAAAAACATTTTGGTTTTAGATATAATTTACTCTGAATACTAACTTATCACCTGAGGTATCAGAGCGATACTTACCTTGGCCCCAATGTATTGGCACTCAAACCTAAAGGCCACATTAGCTAAACAGACTGCTAACCTGTAACAGTGCTCCCTCTCTGGTGACACTGTAGGAGCGAGTGAGCTGATTCTTTAGCGATCCAGTTGCTGGCGAGTAGTCAGCAATGACAGAATTGCTAATGTGGCATGACTCCAACAGTCCCACATCAATTAGTACCTATGCCTAAATCACAAAAACTAATGATCTGCAAAGTTTTTTTCCCCCCTTTCTGCTGTCAGTATCACAGAATCTGCCCAATATGCTGCTGACCAACTGATAATTGAATTTACCAGGCCATAGGCTTAAAGTACAATTAACCTTCATTTTCGTTTGCATATATCTACTGGTAGGAAGCAGTAGATACATGCAAAAACATTATTAAAAAAAGTTTCCAAAATAGGTTAAAAAAAAAAAACTTACCCGTGTCTCCACCGCTCGATCCCATCCGAAGATCTGCAGATTCTCGAGCGGCCATGAAGGATCATGGGGCGAGTGCATGTGCAGCAGAGATCTCCGGCCGGGAGAAGAGTAGAGACACAGGTAAGTCAATGCACGTAGCCGGCAGCGTGCACGTGGACAGACACCATGAGACCCGAGGAGTCTGCGCTGGAGGGACTCTAGAGGCCGACACCAGCGCTGGAGGGACTCCTGAAAACTACTGGAAAGAAGATGATCAAGAGGTATCATTTAAAGGCCATTTCCACCTTTGCAAGGGATTTGTGAGGTAAATGTAGAGGTGCAGGGGCGATGTATATGTGTGTTCATTCTCAGGAGTCACAGGGCTGTTTTTCTTACTTTATTTAATAGACTCGGTTTTCACAGGCCAGAGTCCTAGAAATTCAAAATTCCCACCAGAGGATCTTCAATCCTCTCTCTGAGGATTGGATTGTTATCTGTAAACTGCAATCAGGCGGTGTGTGTATGTGTGTGATCTCCTGCACATGTTGGGTCTGTAGACCTTCTCTCTGTCACTGTGCTCTGTGCGTCTCTCTCAGATCTCTCCCTCCCTCTCCCTCTCCTGGGCCAGATTTACTCTCTGCTGCCCCAAGTCCAGGTTCCTCAATGTGCCCCCCTCCCGGATCTCCAGGATCTGCTTATGCCGGCATCATCTACACACCGTGTACATTGCGGCCATAGGTTTGTTTTTTTTTAAATGCCTCTGCAAAGGTGGAAATGTCCTTTAAGCATTGGGGGAAATGTGACTTTAAATTATGAAGCTCCATCGTGGGTGAGAATCTTTATTGCTCAGCCTTGCGATGGTAATTCTCACTGGACTAAAAATAGCTGTCACTTTAAATTAAAAAAAAATATTCTTATTGTGGTGTGTAAGCTTTGTGAATTGAGCCTCATGTATGACATCCTATGATGGAAAGAAATGGCATTTAATAAATGTAGGGGAAATGTAGGGAGGGACTGGGCAAAAAATAGAGCAATTCCAGCAGCCCGTGTGCTCTATTCCCATGCATGATGGTTATGAAATGGGTTTATTCCAAACATGCAGATTGAACAGTACGAAGACTGTGCTGCAGCATTAACATGCATTATAAGGATATGGACGCAGTCCGATCAAGCTACAATAAAAGCTCATCTAGTACAATCAATGGTAAATTAGGGGGTTAGTAGGTTAGTAAGAGATTTTGAGGTTAGGGTTAAATATTATTATGAAGGGTAAATTTGAAATGAGAAATTAAGTAACCAAAGTTTACCCAGGCACTGGTGCGAATACTCACCAGCTGTACTGCTCACATCAGGACCTGCGGACAACGAGCACAATTGAAGCATCAGGGGGAAAAAAAAAAGCTAACAGCCAACCAAATCACAGCATGATAATAGGATACATTTGGCAGCAGAGCTAGAAAAAGGAAAACCAGTGATGTTTTTCCAGTGACTACTAATCTAACCTATTATTTAACTGTAGTATTTATTTTAGAGATAGAAGAAAATGTAAAACACAAGGGACTTGGTCTACTGTTACCATTCCATCCAATGGACTTGGTCTTAGTCCCATTCCATCCAGTGGTATGAAGGTTCTATATAATCAAAAGCCACTCACCAGAACAATAATTATTAGTACAGATGCCCACACAACTTTGGTCATAAAGTACAGATGTTATGGTCAGGTGTCTACAACCTTTAGGCCATGTAGTTTGTGTGCTGTTATCTTGCAAATGCTATATACCCAGTACAGCACACCAAAGGTGAAGGAATCACAAGAGTATATGCATTATTTACAAACCTGCTGGCACATAAAACGGTTCCTGTACATGTGATTCAGCTGTGTGTTCAACAGTTTGGCTATTAACCAGTTGCCGTCCGCCCGTTGCAAAAAAACGGACGGACGGCACAGTCGCATTGGCGGGTTGCCGTCTCCAGACGGCATTATTATTTTTTTTTGCTTGCGCGCTAAGGGGCAGAAAAAACCCATCCAATGTAAAGAGCCGTTACCGGCTGTTTCACATATACACGATCGGCGGCTCTATAGCCTGCCGATCGTGTATATGTGCTGGCTGCGTGCCCCCCCTCGAGTGCTGCCGCCGCCCCCCTCCTGACCCCTCACCTTCAATCCCAGGATCCGCTGCCCCCATCTGCGGCCCTGGACCGGCTCGGTAGGGTGTCAGGAGGTAAGATCAGCATCTTCCTCCTTGCTGACCTCCCTCCGTGCTGTGAATGCAGAAGTGATGTGTATTACATCACTTCCGCATTCACCTGTCAGTCATCTGGCTGCTATAGCCAGAGAGAAGAAGCTGAGGAAGCAGATCTGTGCTTCATCAGCTTCTTTTGGAAAAAATGGCCTGGATGGGAAGGGGGTTTAAACACTGTGGACTTCAAGTGGTTAAAGAGCATCCAACATCTGTATTTATAACAGCTAAAGCCCTGTGTACTGTTCAAATAGGCAGTAATGCAGAGGTCTTGCCACATTAAATGCACAGGTGTTGCTTTAATGAAAAATGGGCAAAGAATGTGCAGTTTACCAGAGAAACCAACCAGGGTGCATCTTCTCGTATGTGAGGAAATTAAACAAGGCATTGATGTAACTTCCCTTTTACTCTATATCTGAGCCACGCAGTTACAAATCAACATATGCTCCTATTAGATTAGACAGTAAATAACCTTATGGATGGTTGACCCATACCATCGTCTAAGTCGGGATCCGCTCCAGCATCTCGGTATACCGCGAGCTGTACTGAGCTTAGGGTAACGGGAGGACGCTAGTTTGTGTCCTCCCGTTACCCTAAGGAGAACTATGGGGAAAAACACTGACCCCATAGTTCTCCTTTAACAACCAGCTTTTCTAGTTTTTGGATCTGCCCAAAAATTGTGGAGGGAGACGACTGATTGCCTGATACGGGCAAAACCCCATTATTTCACATGCTTTCAATCAAAATCCAAAAGTGAGACATAACTGGATTTACTTACCACCTAGAAACTGCTGTAACCTCGGGAAGCCACTCTGTCCTCCCAACATTATTCCTGCCAAGATCCATGTCAAGCCCACTGTGAGCAGAACTACGATAATACGAACAGGACCTGCAAACACAAATTATTCTAGATTATTAGCTCTAATCAATCCCTTCAACTTGTACAAGACACGAGCGGCAAGGTTTTACAAAGAAATTGCAAAGCTTTTAGCAAGCTTCAATGAGCTTTCTTGAGCCTTTAAAGAACCCTTCATCTGCAATTTGGGAATGTTAAAAGAGAAAAAAACTTAACCCTGGCAATATTTGCCTCCCGCCACTCCTCTCTAGTGCCACCATCTTTAAATACCCTTTGAGCGCACAGATATGCTGCAGGTCATGTGGCTGCGGCACACTTAAACACCTGTTGAAGATTCCCGGCCATGCTCACAGATGCTGCTGGTTTCTGTTATCTGGGACCTTTCAGAGAACCGCAGCTTCGGTGTGCATGCATGGGACTCTTCCGTGCATGCACAGAGGTGTCACAGACCTCTGTCAGGTCCTGAATAGCTACATCTGTGAATGCACAGTATCTCATGAAACACCTACACCCCTGAGTAAAAACACTGCTCCCTAGGAAGTAGCATGACAATCCTAAGATGCATCAAGGCATCCCTAAATCTCGCTTTGGCTAGGAATCCCTAAAGTGCAGTACAACACTGAAGACATACCATTCTTTTCCAAAATTTAGAAAATGTTTGCCAATTTATCATAAACCTTCAGCTTCATCCGAGAGTGGCTGAAAGCCTGCAAGCAGCTTGTTTAAAGAGATGACCAGAACTCCTTTTAAAATTAGTGTTTAACATGCCCAATATACATTTGAAGGGTGTAGACAGGGCAGCCATCAGGGGGGTACGGCCGATACTCATGTAAGGGGCCCGGGCAGCCTGTAAGGGGCCCCAAAATTTCTGATGGCTGCCCTGGGTGTAGAGGTATAAAGTTTTAACTACCACACATTACGGAGTATGTAGAAAGGAACAAATCATGTTTTATAACTTCCAACTTTTGTGTGTTCCAGTTATTATGTAACAGCTAGTTACATACTAGCTAGTAAAGTAACAATACCCCACTCTGGAAATGTTAATGTGTAAGCTTTATTACTTATTTTTCTGTCAATTATAAATCATGTACATCTGCCTGGTTTTTCAGCATGAAATACCTGGTGATCCCACCAGCACACTACCTTTGCTGGAGCGTTCCGACTACTCCAAGCACGGACATAGATTAGTTTGTGTCCTTCAGCTTCTAATCTGAGAAACAGGATGCCTTGCCCAAGCACAGCATGCTGTAGTTCCATGGTCAGTCTAGCTGATGTCACCCTCCCAACCCTGATCTACTTGACTGGCAGGAGCCTAAAACTGGCCATAAACTGTTCATTTTTTTTGTGTTTAACCTCCGGGCCGAACGAAAAAATTAAAACAGATTCTTCTATCAATGTTTACGAGCGTTGATCGGGAAATCTCCTGCTGTCTTCAGTGTATTTTGACAGCAGCCGCCGGCTGCTGTCAGGATACACAAACAGAACCAGCAGCTCATTGGCTGCTGGCTCTGTTCAAAGATTTTCTGATTGGCTCCTTCGATCAGCTGAACTGGCATTTGCAAAATTTGCAAAATGTATGGCCACCTTTACTGCCAGTCATCCAATGTAAAGTAGGATGAGAGCAAATATGTTTCCCTGCTGCCGATATGTCATACCAATGCCCGCCCTTTATAAATGTAGACCACACTTGACAAAAGGTGCATAACTTGACCTATTAAATATTTTTATTCGAACTGGGGCTTTTTAAAATAAACAAGCTACAATAGCTAGTGTCGCATGTCAAGGGTAGGTACACAGGGGCGTTGCAGCACTCCAATGCCCCACCTGCCTTGTGCGGCAATGAGTGACCTACCAATCTAAATCTGACTACGCGTTATGGACAACACTTTTCTTTGTGCCAGTATAATGTACTTCAGTAACCGATGAGATTTATAATTTCATGCAACAACATGCCATAAAAAACACAATCAAAGTGCATGGCTGACTAAGCTGGTAAAGTTACCTGCTAAACGCATAATGCAGCTGAGAAGCACACCGCCTGCTCGGGTACTCTGGGCCTTTTCCCTCTCCGAGTCACCCTGCGTAGAGAAAATTACATTTAAGTCATGCTCACCTTTTTATAGACTTTTTTTTACCTTAGGTAGTTGTTGTTATGGCTTTAATGTTCTCATTTCTATTTAAAGCTGAACTCTAGGTAAACAGATAAATACAAAGATAAAATACTCTTATAAGAGCTGTTTTACCTGCCAATGGACTTGTATTTTTGTCCAACCAGCCCTGACAATTACACAGCACAGTCAAGTGGATGACACGAATTACAGTTGGGAAAGATAATGGTTTCCTCTCTCCATCCGGTGTCTGATGACTGGACAGTGTAAGAACAGCAGAATGTCATCATTCCTCTATTCACTCTGCTCCTATCCACATATTTCTTTCTTCTTCTTTAATTGCACATATCACCCATCCCCACATGATCCCCAGCCACCAGTCACAAATCTGCCATTTTCCTGGCAGATCTGCGACAGGTGTATAAGAAGGAAACTGTACAGAAGTTTGAAGTGTATTGCAGCCTTGACAAATTCCTCTAATTTCCAACTCAGTCTTGCATTGTGAGAAGGAGCAGTAAACTAGACTTGTGAAGCACTGCAATGCCAGCTAATGTAATGAGGAAACATGGCTGCCCCCATGTATATCTGGAATTACAAACTACACACAGAAATAAAGTTTAAAATAAGAAAAAAAAAAAAGATCAACGCACATTGCCAACATGTACATAAAAGTAGAGGAAAAAAAAACCACCTAAAAAATACACATTTCACGTTTAATATTAGATGTGCACTACAGCTGAACAAACTGTTGTTCTTATCTACAACAGATAAACTAAGCTTGGTAACTCCCTGTATAAACATTGCCATCATTGTATTTAAAACACAGATTTCCTTAAAGCCTTTTATAGTTGTACATTGTCTATGAGATCGAGGTGATGTACAGTGATAGGAAGTCTGCACATATTAGGACTGTATCACTGAGAAAACGGATATGTGCTACACAGCTTTTAAAAGGAGAACTATGGGGTAAGTGTTTTTTCCCCATAGTTCTCCTAAGGGTCACGGGAGGACACAAACTAGCGTCCTCCCGTCACCCAAAGCTCAGTATACCGCGAGCTGTAGCTCGCAGTATACGGAAACCGCCGCAGCCGGGACAGATCCCGACATTACTGTTGAGATCCACCCAGCTGCGTGATTAACAGCTGGCTCCGGCTATCTAAAGGCAGAGCCAACTGTACCCACCCCCTCCCCGTCCTTTCCGTCAGTTAGTGCTGGAGGATCGGATTGGGGAGGGGGGTCCCTGCAGGGAGCCGTGAGTGACAGTCACGGCTCTCTGCAGGGACAGGATCGAGAAGTAAGCGAGCGACAGTATGTGTTCGCTCACTTCCCAATCTATTGAGCCGACGTGTGACAGTTTTATTGTGTGGGCAGCACAGTGGCGTAGTGGTTAGCGATTCTGCCTTCGAATCCCGGCTCACTAACAGCAAGGAGTTTGCATGTTCTCCCTGTGTTTGCGTGGGTTTCCTCTGGGTACTCCGGTTTCCTCCCACACTCTAAAGACATGCTGGAAGGGTAATTGGCTCCTCTCTACGTTGGCCCTCTATGTATGTATGTGAGATAGGGACCTTAGATTGTAAGCTCCTTGAGGGTAGGGACTGATGTGAATGTGCTGCGTAAATTGTCGGCGCTATATAAAATACCTATAATAATAATTGTCACATGTCAGCTCGAACTATGCTGAGTGATTTTCACTCACCTCATAGCTCTCCTTTAAAGGTCAGATTAGGCACCTCATGTGACCCCTTAGCTGGAGTGAATCATCCCCATTTATCACAATTTCCCCCCTAGACAAATTCGTGACCTCAGCATTCCAACCTTCCTCTGATAAGAAGACACATGCAAACATTGTTAGGCAGCTGGGTTGTGCACACATAGCAGACCAATGGCTGATATTTGCAGACAGCTTAGCAGTCATCTGCTGACCAACTTTATCGACAGATACAGTTATGAAAGCACATCCACACATTGTCACTGAAACAGGAACACAAGGGTAATCTTCCAATTGGGATACTTATTGCAGTGACCATCTGTAAAAGGAGGAGATTTTTTTTTTCTTACTTTGAAAAGATTATCTCTCACTTCCTGTGGCGACAATGAAAACGGAAATTAAGGTAAATCACCCCTATGGGAAACAGGCTACAAAATAAAAATAAAAAACACTAACAGAGGTTTTACTTCATCCCTTTTCTGTCTAGACTATAAAAACAGGATTTTTGCACTTAACGTAAACATTTTTGGTGTCATTTTGGCATTTTTGTTTAACCATAATTTCCATCTTCCTCATTTATTGCACTTACATATATTATAAACCCCTTTTTAAAAAGGACAAAATGGGCTTTAAGTTGATGTGACACAAGCATGTACAAATTCTAATTTTGTTTTAATAAAAGAAAAAGAAAAAAATAAAATGGGAAAAAAGATTTTTCAGTTTTAGCAATAATAATGTGTACATAAATATTGTAGCTAACAGAGAGTAATTTATAATACATTATTTTAGTTGTTCTGATTCATAGGGTATATCATATGTCTGGGATTTCAGTTTATTTAGGGAGTTATAGGTCACAAAATAAAAAAGTGAAACCAATTTTAGTTTGGAACAATCTTAGAATGTGGTATATTTGTCTCCTAACTTTATTAGCCTCCTCAGCACTATATTTTCTTTTAATATTTTTATTAAACTTATTTTTTTTTCTACTTTTTGACTTATTTTCCTTTTTTTACATTTTTAAATATTGTAAAAAAAACAAAAAAAACACACTCCTTTAAAAAACAGTTTAAAACTTTTTTTTTAAAACTAGGGGGCACTAAAAGTTTACCTTTTTGATTTACAGGGGCTTTGATACTTCGTATTCTGAGAAGACACTGTATTCTCCTCAGAGATACTTTGTGTCACACTGACCCAGCTTGCAGCACAACACAGTGAGCTGCAAGTGGCTCAGTGGCTGTAACAGCACTGTGATCACTGTGATTGGCTATTACAGTGCTGGGACCCCCTAAATTTGCTGTTGAGGGTCTGCCTGGGACACAAAAGGGACCCAGCAACAGCATTAACTCAATGAGCGATGGTCTCTCCACGGACCAGCGCTCATTTTACCGCATGATGGGATTATTCAGTCACTGGACTTAACGAACTGAAAGGATTGTGACAGAATAATCCAGTCATCGGGAGGGGAGTTAAGAATCACTAGATTAAGTTATTCAGAAAAAATCTGAGGGTTTAATGTCACTTTAAGGTAAGAACAAAAATCCTATTTTCTTTCTCGTTTATTAAGGGACACAGGATTCAGTGATTCAGAGACAATTGGGATGTCCAAAATCCGTCCAATTGAGGGGTGGGCACCAGTAACAAAACACTAACAGGACCACATAACAAAACAATAGAACTCGGAACAGCCTACAGATCCAAGAGCTTCCTGAATGCCCTTGAACCCTAAGGTGGAATCAGAGGAGACTAGAATATCCACCTGGTAAAAAACTTAGAGAACATGTGAACAGAAGACTAGGTGGCAGCTTTGCAGATCTGGGAAACAGTTGCTTGGCACCAAAAAGCACAGAGGCACTCACAGATCTAGTAGAGTGAGCTTTAACAGGAAAGGGTGGAACCCAATCCATGAACAGGAACTTCAACCTTATCTTTAAAATATCAACAGACACACCTTTAGAAATGTTTAGTAATGGAAATCTACAAACAGATGCTTATAGATAATTGCCAGCTTTTTAGTCTTTGCATACCTTATCCCCCCCCCCCCACCCCCTCAGT